TTCTCTATTTTTATGTTATATTGTCATTAAGTCTAATTCTACTGTCTATATTTTACTCATTGTATATTATTGGGCTGCTCAACATCAGACTGCACTTTAGCTTATGTATATTCTATATTTGTGTGTATTACACCTTTGTAAAATTTTTGCTTATTGTCAAAACTCGCCCTTTTTGGCCCTGCACGCTTTTGTTATTTTATTTAATAAATGTAAGGCCTGGGCGGTTGTTGGGACTGTCTTTCGTGGGCATTTGGTCTGTTGGACTGCCCCCGGGTTGAATTTGGCTTTGGGTTTGGGAGCCCGGTGCGTGGCGTCTTGTGATTCCTCTTTAGGCTCTAGATATAGGTGGACGTGGTGCTATACCGATTAACCTTTTGATAAAGGGACAGTGCCCACGTCCTCCGTTGCTTATCGCTTATCGCTTATCCTACTGAGCAGCCTAGCAAAGTCACTCCTGACAACGTCATATCAATGAGGAGTATGCGTAATGCATTAATTGCAAATGTAACGTCAAATAATGTTAAGTGTGATACCATTCTTTGCCGATTAACTGATAGATGATAAGCCCATGTCGTATCGCATAATGTATGTATATTACCAAATTATAGATCGTATCGAATAATAACTTACAATGTCATAAATAAGTAAAATGTAATGTATAGCATAAATCATACGTGTACTCCAGAAATTTAGTTATAGCTGCCTTCTGAACACTTATAGTGTATAAATGTTTACGCCCCAGCAGGTTAACCCTCACAAGCACATTCGCATAATTGCCGGAGCAATTATAATGCTTCAATACGCAGCTTTATGTAAAGTCACTCCCAACAATGTAAACACAGATAGAATTTTGTGTACAGTTTTATTTGCTAATGTATTACTCAGTAATGCCAAGTACAAAGTATAGTATTCATATCAATGTATAGCTCTCGTGAAGCTCCTCTCTAGCCAACTTTTTAGATAAGGGTGGACGTGATGCTGTACTGATTAATCTTTACGGCAAAGGGACAGTGCCCACGTCCACCGTCACTTATCACTTATCCTACTGAGCCGACGCCGTTCTCGTTCTGTATTCTGACTATCATTTTGAAATAAAGATCACTTACTGCTGCTTGCTGTTTCTGTCTTTTTGCCAAATTTCATCGCTTTCTGACCACTCCTTCTTGGTGTTGCATTTTCAATGTCGAGCAGTGTATGTACCAAACGGTATTATTACCGGTACATATGTATACCGTTATTTATTACCGGTGTACATGTATACATTATTGGTGCATATTATTACCGGTACATATGTGTACCATGATTTAGGCAAATTATTGTTATTGATAATAAATTATGCGGCTTTGGGTACATGCATGGTGAACCGTGAATTATGGCCAACCACAATCACGTATGGCATGCATGACCAACAGCAATCCCCTAAGAAAAAACAATGAAAAAAATAACAAAACTACAAAGAGTAACCTTATAATAATAAAATTTGCTTTTGTTTTTGTCTGAAAATCTATTATTCATATTCAGGGACGAAAGAGTTACATTTAATTTTTGTGATTAAAGCGTATTGTAATTATTTTCGCAATACACTTTATTTTATTATTCACCAAGAAAGACTGTTTCGAAATGAAAAAATATAACTAACCCGACACTTCTTCTTATTACGCACATCTTGATTGATTTTGACCCGCAGCCAAAAAAGGTTGCCGACGCCTGACTTCGATCTTTAATCCCTAGAGCTTATTGCAACTGTTAACGGTGTTTAGGACGCTTAGCACTGAAGGTAGGGACCGCTTCATAACCGTAGCCTCCGCATCCTTAAGAAGATTAGTTTTCTAACTTGTAAGAAAAACATCATAAAATTTCGGGCATCATTATGCCTAGGCATTGCTGTTCAGCCAGAGCTTTAATTTGCTGCTCTCATGATTAGAAAAGTAAATTGAATTTCTATTTGCATAGCGTTGCGTTTGCATAAAGATGCTTGTACCTTTATGAAGGTTGCTTGTTTTAAAAGCTGATCTTCAAAAGGGTGCGGTCATCTTTACCGGAACTTTTTTATGAAGGTTTTTTACTTCGCGAACAATGGCCGACTTGCTTAAAGATGCCGGCACCTTTGTGGCAGAGCCTGTGGGATTAATAATGCTTAAGTAATATGTAAACATACTGATAACTAACATATTACGAATTTCACAGGTTTCTCTTGATCACAAACTTGCGTTAAAATACACTGGCACTACATTAAATGGTGAAAAATGCAGTATAATATACGCCACTATATGCCCAGTCCGTATAGTGGCTAGTTGCGCTGGTCTGCTGTACCAATAGGCCCGGGTTTGAAAGAAGAATGGGTGTTTGTAAGTGAACCACCCCCACGGTGTTCTCTATCAAAACCGGAGCGGAACTTAAAAGTCAATAAGGCCTAATGTACCTTTCGATACCTAATGTTCCTTCGTGAATGCACATGTGTTTATATCTGTCATTTATATACATATAACTGATTTAATGAGTTCCTAATGATACCATTTTTGTTCTGAATGAAAGAACGTCCTCCAAAGTGGGAAAGAACTGCGAACAAATTTTAATTGATTGATCATGCGGTGATGATAAAATGCATGTATATCCTTTATCAGAAAAGTTGGAGGACAAAGGTCATAAAGACAAAGGTCATAAACTGCATGTACCAAGTAATGATCCTAGGTGCTATCAAAGTAGACCCCTTGGCTATATATACACAACTGCCAACGTTTCTGGAGGTCTTAAAAGCGAGCAGGGAAATCTTCAACTGCGATGCTTGCGAGCTCATTTGTCACAGCCCATTGGATATCTGCAATAATCTTGATGAAGCTTTACTTTTCACTCGCGGAAGCAAGAAAAATCACAACAATCTTTGACACAAATATGGGATCACGTCTGGCTCTATCCAATAGTTTATCAGAAATTCTTCGTCTCTTTCTGTTCATCTGTTAGTGAACGAGGGACGATTCTTGCATTAAGCTTCTGTTTCTCTAAATCTTGCGTAAAATCTTATGACACACATCACGACTCGAATTCAGTTCTTCTAATATTTATACGCACAATTACACGACGGTCTTCTTGCAATAACTTCTTTACACTCTCCACGTTTGCATTGGTATGTGTGTGCTATAGACGGGCGACCAGCTCTGGGATCGTCTTGCACGGAATCTTTGCCTTCACGAAACCTTTTGTGCCACTCGAAAACACGACTTCGTGAAAATGCCTTTCCTGAATATGCTTCCTTAATCATGTTTCGCGCTTCACTAGAGGTTTTCCCGAGCTTAACGCAGAATTTAATGCTCATTCTTTGCTCACAATGAACATCCATTGTGTGAACTTAACCAATGCGACAACAATCCGGGCAGTGTGTTGCCAAGCACAGTCCTGCCCCCTAGTAAGTTTGCACGGCAACATATCCAAGATCATGTGAAGGAAGAATACCAGGTAACATAAAAACAACATTTGTTCCTTTTTAGTACTGTAAACTCAGCAAATAAAATAGTTGTCCTAGAATTTATATGGCAAAAGATGCATATATTAATAGAAAAATAAATAAAACGCTAGTCCGTTATTTAACGAACTTTAAATCAATTTTCAAGGAAATGTTTTGTAATTTCATAAAATTTAAATATCAGTTGTTTATAAAACTGTATTGGGAAATATATTACTGCATGAATTAATTTTTAATTATTATTTACTGCATGAATGTAAAATGCATGAATTAACTCCCTCTCCCAAAGTAAGCATGTAATGTGTCATCCCCCCTCAAATCCTTTTGGATATTGTGCAATTAAAATATTATGTTTATATTAAAACTTCACCAATTTGTACTGGCCCACAAACCCTGATGGAGGGGTCTATGGATGGTAATTAAAATGTAGGTTATTCCTCTTTGCTAAATTTTTTTAACTGCCTTTCGATTAATCATGATTTTAGGTTAACCTAATTAACCTTTAGTACTTAATTGTTATTTAAATATATTTTTAATTATAACATGTGTTAAATCTTCTTTTAATTATAATTACTTACTTAACAGTAAATTAACGGTAGTTTTCTGTCATTTATAATATATGTTATCTTTTTCCCCTGTGTTTTTTAACTCCCTGGGATTAGACATGATTTTTGCAGTTAACCGGAATTTAAGTAACCATGGATTTTGTGTTAACCCGATTATCCAGGTTAATACCATAGGCGTCATTCTTTGTCGCGAATTCCCTAAATATATATTGTTATCGCAACCGTGGGAGGAGATTTTCATATTGGGTCAATGAATTTGCAGTAGAGTTTTCTTTGAGAATCAGCTATCAGATTGTATTCTTTTGTGCAAATGTTGTCGCCGATTTGCAAACGACAAGGATCTTTAATTTTACTTACGTAATTGTAGTTAAAATCAGAGTGATATCCTCATAAGATTTCAGCACCTGATTAACTGAATTTAGAAAGATAATTAATACATATTAGACACTTCGCAGAACTTCAGGAAATGAGCTTTTGTTCCCATTTTTCACGAAACGCCACGTGAGGGAATTTTGCAGTTGAAGCCCATTAGTCCATTTTATATGCTTCTCCAACGGTTACGATACCAATGTTGCATTTAAGAAATAAGCTCTGCTGTATTACCCCGAGTAACTGGAAATTGACTGTTGTTACTTTCAATTATAAGAACTGATATAGTACGTAAGATTATACGTATAATTATACGTATAAGTATACGTATATAGTACGTAAGATAATTTAAAGGTATCCATTCGACAATAGCTTCAGCTAAGATCTGTTCAAGACAATTTTTGTCTTTATTTCAGAGTCTTCAGTTGATAAGAATCAAATAAAATACGATTAATATCAAATGTCACTTTCGCTCCTACGTCATGCTACAGAAAATTGTTTGGCGTGTATTGCCCCGAAAAGATTTGACAATTTCATTGCTCTGTAGCATAATAATGGTATAAACATGTAAAAGAAAGAGAATTAAATACAAGAATTGCATTTACCGGATATGAGGGTGAAAGAGATACAATAAACGGCGGGCTTGTCAGTGCTGCTTCTACGGTCTACAGCACTGAGGGGTCCGTCGTGCGTGCCCGCACTGACTAACGCTATGTCCACATGGAAACGTACGTTCCTCTGGAACATGGTGGGACCCCCGGCTCGCTTATATTCCACGCGGAAGGACATTGGGGAGATGACACTGTGGCATAGATCCGATATCTGCGGGAAAGAACAATTAATCACTAAAAGAACTAAACATTGAACAGGATAACAGGCATCAAATTCAATAAATTACCGGCAAAATCAAATGAAACAAAATGCTTTTAACTCTTTCGCATCGGTAGAGGATACAATCAGTTTCATTCAAACATCTAAAACGCCCATATATATGTTGGAATGGATTTCCTTCCCCCGTGCCAAGTATAAAGCTACAGCGCTAACAATAAGGCTACAGCCGAAAACATTGCGGCAAAAGCATCGCGGACGAAAACGTCGCGGAGAAAACAACGCAAGGCGAAAACGTCGTGCTACAAAACGTCGTGGGAGAAAACATTGCAAAGAGAAAACATCGCAGTTCTAAAACATCGTGGTACAAAACATCGTCGTTGAAAATAAAGCGGTTCAAAAACTTTCGCAGTTTGAAAACATCGTCGTCGAAAATATCGTTGGTAAAAAATAAAGTATCCTACAAATCATCGCATGACGATAACATCGGCAGACATGCGTTTTTCCGGCTTTCAATAACTGTGAATGGATATTCCCATAATGATTTGTGAGCGCAAGATGGAAAGAAAGATAACTTTTTTCTTTCATATTTTTTAGTAACCTAATAAATTTTTGCGGAGAAAATAGAAAAAAGGAAACTTAAGCATAGAAAATTAATGCAACTTATAGCACTTAATAGAATTTTAAACCGACATAGTTAACTAACAAAGGCCATTAATAAATAATTTTTTATAAAGTTTTTACTGGTAATTTTTCACGAAAAATATAATCTATAAGTTGCATTTAATTTTCTATGCTTAAGTTTCCTTCTTACTTTTTCAGCAAAAATTTATTAGTTAATAAAAAAATGTGAAAGTAAAAATTATCCTTCTTTACATCTTGCGCTCACAAATCATTATTAGAATATCCATTTACAATTATTAAAACCTGAAAAAAAAAGCATGTCTGCTATGTTATCGTCATGCGATGATTTGTAGATACTTTATTTTTTACCACGATATTTTCGACGACGATGTTTTGTATCACGATGTTTTAGAACTGCGATGTTTTCTTTTTGCGATGTTTTCTCCCACGACGTTTTCTCTTTGCGTTGTTTTCTCCGCGACGTTTTCGTCCGCGATGTTTTTGCCGCGATATTATCAGCGGACACCAACAATAACCTATTCAAGTGAACCAGCAACTTTTCTCTTGGGATCTTCATACGCTTTCAGCATTGTGTGCAGTTGCTCCTTAAAACAGGATTGCAACTTTCAGCATCAACAGCTAAACACTGACGCAGAGCAAAGGAGGAGGAAGGTGCATTTACATAAATAATAGAACTACCGCATCAGAGGAATGATTGGCATATCATTTAACAACTTAACATTTAACGATTTATCATTTAGCGATTTGCAAGGCCTGTATTTACTGGAGAAGGAATTTCTGATTGGCTCAAAATAAGGTTCTTCAAATCGTAAAAGAAGACTGTGAAATATACAAGTGAGGAAAATAACTTACTGAAAGAAAGGCGTGAATGAGATCGGCTTTGACCGAGCTGAGAGGTCGGTCTTTGACTAGGATCACGTGCGTTTCGTCCCTTTCGTTTGTCATGAGGCTTCCGAACCACGACCGCTTCGTTAGCCTGAAAGGAGACGAGAGCATTGTAGTCAGTTTTATTGACAGGCAAAGCGACGAAAGAATCAAAAGAAATACGCCTTGTGAGGCTTCACACTTACTCCGGGGAAGAATCTGGCGTTAAACTCACTTCATCTGAAGCAGAAGGCGCTGAAAATAAAATATTTAACGATTATTAATTGAATCGAATAAGAAGAGAAACACGTTCAATGTAAAACTTAAAATTATTCAGAACAGCAAACTTATCTTGGTGTAGATCAGAAAATTATTAATTGTCTACAAACTCAAGTAAGGTAAAGTGGAATATACTGTTTATTTAAATATACTAAATGATCGATTAATCGCAGTAACTGTATAAGATTTAGCCTAATTAACTATCTAATTACACTTGTTTAAACTTTTCTTGATGTTACGAATTATGATCTTTACAAATATACAGAAATCTAATTAAATTACGTTAGATAAATGTAAAATTTAGCTAAAAAAAATTATTGAAACTACATCTTTTAGCATAGCTAAAAAATCAACAATTATTAGCCACGTGTTGTTTACCGGATTTCTGAAGCAGAAAACCACAAAAAGCAAAAATCATTTATCAGGTCAACTCCAGAAATCTAACCATACGTGTTAACAGATTTAAATAAATAAATAAAAGTTTACAAATCCTCATTCCGTCATTGAAAAGACTTTCTCATTGGAAAGGGTAGCTTTAGAATTTCCTACAGACATGCTCGCGCGCTGGAGACAATTTTTTTTTGTCCAGTGTTGCCAGTCTTCGCTTTGAAATTGTTTAGTTTGTTGAACAGAAATTCGCCAAAGTTTTACAAAATATGAAATACTCAATAAGAGAATTTCCAAATTCGGTCTTCCAGGTGCCCTTATTCGAGTGGAGGATTACGTTATTCAAAACTGGATGTCCATAGGTACCATTGTTTTTTCACAGTGCGAGAAACATACATACATTGATGCAGATTCTTCATTATTTAATTTCTTTAAATATAATACAGGCGATAATATTTGCTGCTAACAATTTAAAAAGTGTTTTCGAATTTAAATTATTCAACGCAAAATGCCGTTTCGAGACTAATAGCCCTTTTGATCTAACGCCCCTTTCGGCTAAAAAAAGCTTTTGAGAAGATTGCAAAAGATAGAACAATTTTACAAGGGCTCGGCGTTGCCATAGTGTGGTTACTTTAATTTTTAGTTGCGGTAGCCTTTCTTTAGCAACCCCAAACTCTTGTCACTCTGTTCTGCTATCGCTTTTACGATAAAAATGCGATTCTTCATTTCTTCCACAGTAAAAGAAGACCGGATTCTCCATCCAATAACACTTTATATATTGCTGGTTTAAACTAAAAGTTGTTACTTTTGTTTAGTAGTGTTATGAACAGAACTGAAGATGATATTATCTAAGATATTTTCTCCATCCTTTCTGCATGCCTTCGGGGTGTAACGATAGCACACTAGGCTCGTATTCGAGAGGTACTGGTTCGAGTTCCGGAGAAGGCATTGCACATTTTTCATGTCTCCTGCTTCGAAAAAACTTAATTTCTCTACAGTGGCGCCTCAACTAAAAAGTGGTGGATGATAATTCTTCACCACCAGGATTTGGCGATTGGGTACCCTAATCTCCAGTCGCCCTTTAAAAGGGAGAAATATATAAGGTATTTTCTCGCTCTTTTCTGTATGCCTTCGTGGTGTAACGGCAGCACACTCGGCGCGTATTCGGGAGGTTCAGATTCGAGCCCCGTTCAGGGCATTGCTCATTTTTTTACTTCTTCAGAATAAAATAACTCTAATGACTCTATGCAGTCTAGCAGGAGAATGATAACACTATTAACCCTTTAACTGTCGAGTTATTTTGATGATTTGGGTACACAAATTGTCAATTTTTTTTATTGGAAAAATCAAATGTTAGTACAAAATAAAAATATACTTAAGTAGTTAAAAAATTGATATTTTGAAGTACATGGGTAAAATTTTTAAAAGTTTTGTAGCCACTGCGTATTTGCTTGAGGCGGCTGCCACTCAAAATGGCAGTTGTAAAGTTCGCTTCTAGTGGAGCATTATTTTCTAAAAATGAAAGAAAATTAATTATTTTCTAAAAAATAAATAAATGGAAAAAAATAAATAAAAATGAATGCGTATTAGTAGTTCAGTAATTCAGTCTTGTGTGGTACAACTGGAAACACTTTTCCAAGCACAAACCAACTCCACAATCACTACACCAGAACCGTGTTTCCTTCCTTATCTTTTTCGCATTTTTATTCTTTTTCGAACAACACACTTTGCACTGTCTTGTAGGCTCACGTATCACAGGAGTAGGAGGAATATAGGAAATAAAATGTCGTTCAGTAAGACGGGCAGGGTTATCTATTGTAGGTGGTCTGCCAACATTCTTTTGTCCAGAAGCTGCATCATCATATTTATGTAAAAGCTCTTCTACAACTTGGATTCGAAATTCTAAAAATGCAATACGTTTCCCAACTACATTTTTGTAGAGTAAATATGAGTTCCAAAGTACCTTGTCTAGTAAATGTAAAAATATCTTTTTATAATATTTTTTCTGACGTTTTCGGATTGTTGGATGAAAGGATATTTCCTCATCACAGCGATCTACACCACCCATAGTTAGACTGTAGTCAGAAACAATCTTCGGCTTGAGTATATCTTCATTTTTTTTTAGGCTGACCATGGAAATATCATGAATACTGCACATCAGACACACATCTTTCATCTTCGGTTGAAGAATCTAAATCATCTAATATAACGTTTCAAAGAACTGGACGCCATTTTTACAACAAAAAGATCCCGTGCACTTTGAAACAAAGAACTTATAACCTCTGACCTTTGAAATCTTCAGTAAAGTGCTGTCATTTATTGAATTGAGCGCACATTAACTTTTCCCGAGATACTGTCGGGTTTGACAAAGAAATGAAGCCGAAATAAACGTCTCCCGATATATATTCGGGTATAACAATACGATGCACTCAAAAAAAAAAAAAAAAAATTACCCCGAGTAGTACTCGGGCGTGACATTTTCGAACACCAGTGCTGTGCCCGAGTTTAACTCGGGCATGACAGTTAAAAGGTTAATGGTGAAATTGAAGAAGATAATATTCAACCGGGTTTGCCTCAAGACTTCGAAACACTGCTAGAAAACTTCAAGCAGGTTATTTCCGCTACTAAGGAAATTTGTTTAATGTATATTAGGGTTAAATGAAATAGATATTATAGTTTCCTAATTGTTTAACTTATAATCTCATTCCACTCTTTCGATATTTTGGTCGTGTGGCAAGGAGCAGAATCCTGCTGAAAAATAAACGAAGCATTGTTGGGAAAGAGATCTCTGATGGAGGGTAGAAGTTTCGGTTCTAGAATAGTGTCAATGTATTTTCTGGCATTCAGTGTCCCATCGATGACATGAAGACGACCCATACCATCTGCTGACATGTATGACCAAATCATAACACTAACTGGGTTCTTCACAGTTGCTTGAATGCAGTCAGGATGTAGCTCTTCTCCTATTGTACGTCTTACATATTTTCGCCCATCACTACCGAATAACGATATCTTAGTTTCATCACTCCATATAACTTGTGACCACTGATCATCTGTCCAATTAATGTGTTCCTTTGCCCACTGTAGTCTTTTTTTTCGTTGTTGAAAATTAAGATAAGGCTTTTTTCGTGGAATTCTACCTCTCAGTGCAACATCTGTTAATCTTCTCCTGATTGTTCTTGAACTGACAGAAACACCAGCATCATTCATATCACTTCTGATGGCCGCTGATGACATTTTTCTATCTTGGAGACATAGTATTTTTATTATTCTGTCATCAATAGATGTGGTGCACCTTTTTCGGCCTTTTCCTTCTTTGTTTTTTATTGAATTTGTCTCCTGATATCGTAAACAAAACTTTCTGACTCCAGATGTAGTCACTGAACCACCCACCTGTCTTGCAATTTCAGCATAGGAAAGACCACTTTCTCATAACACAATAATATTACATCTCTTTCTAGGTGAATATACTCTTTTATTTGATGTCATTGCTTCTTGACTAAATATTAAAAATTTTTACAAAAATTCCTAATTGTAATTGTAGTGTATAAGAAACAGGTCCTCCTTCTAAGAACAAATCAAAATAATGAATTGTTTCAAGTGTAAATATGGTGTCAGGTTCTACTGGCAGTTACTAACATTTGATTGGTTCTCAGAACAAGAATAGTGAGTGGCCAGGAAAGCTAGACATTACAAACCACTTCATAACTGTGTTTTTTATTTATATTAAAGTACATATAACCTTTTTTGTATTGCAAATAATTGAATTTTTGTGTTTTGTATTGAATTCCGTAATAAATTCTCTTTAAAATGATATATACAAGTTTGCATTTTGCGAAACGTAACATTTTCTATAAGCATACGAAGTTCAAAAACATAAAAATTTCCAAAAGTGTCCACAATTTTGGCCACCACTATACATGATAATTTAATTAGCTTTCTACATAAGATGAGAAATTATGTTGTTATATCGCTTCATAGTAAGGATCAATCGAAACATATAAAACAGCTCACGTATCACACAAGAACAATGATATATGATAAAAAACAACAAACATTTAAAGTAAGAAGCAGAATTAATCAACATGGTAACAAAAGTAAAAAGTTAAAAATTGAAACAACAAGGGAAGGAACGTAAGAGATGTAGTGTTTACAAGAAGTTCATGAAACCTCTGGCATTCCAGTATAGTTTACTTATCTCACCACGTTTCTGGGACTCTTTATCTAGTTCTGGGCATATGAGAAGGTGCTGTTCATTTATGATGCCCGGATTACAAATTTGGCATATACTAGATGGAAGGATGTCAATGTTATTAAGATGTCGTGCCATGCAATCGTGGCCTATTTGCAGTCTGAAGTTTGCCGCAGCCTCATTACGGGGTATTTGACAAAACGTTTTCCATGTGTCTTGAATGTTAGCCCAGGATTTGCCTGTTGATTTTACTGCCTGGTCAGATTTAAGAGTATTCATTAATTTCTCAAAAATATGCTTTTTAAATGACTCTGGACAAAGTGGTTTTGCTGGCTCAAGTATTCATCTCCTGGCTAGTGAGTCTGGTTTTTCGTTACCGTCGATACCTACATGTGAAGGGATCGATTTAGAAACAATTGTTCAGTTGTATTTATAAAGAAAGTTCAGGATTTGTCTTAGTTCTGACATAATCTGGGCATGTGTAAATGAGAAATTATTCAAAATATGAAATTACAGTCTAGTAACATTTAAATTTAAATTACCTGTTTGTATTTAAAATTAATTATTTATTGAAATAAATAGTTAATTTTTTTTCTTAACATATTAGATACTTTGGAATAATTAATTCCGCTCTTCTGCTGAATTTCTGTGCCATTATAAGAAACTTTAATCTTTTATGTAATAATACTTGATGGCAACTTTGGCAGAGTTTGCAGTTCCATTTTCGTAAGCCATGGTTGCAAATTCAAGGATTCTTAGATTTCGTCTCCGTGAATTCGCAATCACGCTTGCTCATGATCGGGAAGAAAATGGGAATGGAATGCAGATTTCTCCCTTACTTTGCATTTTTCTTCTATGGAAGCGGGGACTTCCAAGGAAGCTGCTTTTGATGGTGTTGAGCCTTGATTTCCAATACGGCTGGTTCATTCCAGGAGAACCAGGAGGGGTGTTAAGAGGACTTTCTTCCGGAGTGCCACGAGGAGTCGGCTTCGGAGAACTCAAGGGTGAGACGGCGGGGCTCGTCACGTGTAGACTGCTCGACATGCTACTCCTACGACTCCGTCTGAAAATGAAAACAATGAATCTGAATTAACTGTAGTTAAATTCTACTAAGCAGCTTCGATTAGTGATAGCTGCCAGCAAAATTTTCAATTAGTGATGCTGTTTAGAATTATATAGGCATCATATTAAAAAAATGCAGAAGAGCAAAATAAAAATCATGGAAGGCTTTCAAAATGCAAAAAGTCGAAGATTTCATGAAAAATGAGTGACGTTTATAATTACTTTTCCATCGAAAATTACACATAAAATGCTCATTAAATAAAGCCGTGAGTTTAATTTGGTAACGTATATTTTGGGCCCGTTTCTATTTTTCCTCCTAGATTTTTATGGATCATATATTCCCTTACTTTGCTGCCGCAGTCTGGTGGTATCATCTTTTAGTGAGATTGGTAATTACGCCGTAACTACCTCAGTTACCTTGAAATTGGTAAGTGGCCTTGGAGATGGAATCGAAATCTGTGTCATAGAAACCGCACATTAAACTGCAAGGCAAAACTGCACTTTACCTTTCACAACCAGTGCGTGAACCTGTTTCCTGAATGCACGCTGTCTGGCCGCGAATCACTATAAATTCTTTACGAAGAAGTAAGAAGTTTTTCTTAACCACTTCACATCACAAAACTCAAATATTTGCTCCTTTTTTTCCCTCCAAAAATAAACGTTTTGTGCTTAAAACTTCTCTTAGAAATGTTTCTTTCCTCTTTCACCAGTCTTTAAAATCTGTTCATTAAGACGCCTATTTCTCATACTGAAGGATCTCCCTAGCCAGGAGAAAAAAATCCTTTTGTTTTATCTAGTCTCTTATCTGAAAATTAAAAAAAGATCTCCTAAAGGCACGCTTTCAAATGAGTAGTAGTTCCATTGCAATGTCAACTAAAAGGAGGCCGGAAATGCATTCTTGTTTCTCGTCTTTGCTGAGTATGATCCTGATACAACTCCGCTGTGAACAGAGTGTGGCGTCCAACCCGTACAGCGGTTAGTGAGGCTGTCTGCCGTACCATAGGGCCCGGGTGCATATTCCACAAGTGCACATCAGCGTAGCCACTGAGGGAGGGGTTTAGAAATTGGACCAATCAGCTTCTATTGCTCTTGTGACGCTAAATCTTCGTGCATGTGGGCGTATGTTGTTTACGTTTCAATTTGCATTTGTTTCGCAGTTATAAATGTATGGCGTAAAAGTAGAAAATCTCGTAGTGCTTTCGTTTTATGAGTTTAATTAATCGCCGACATTTCACTTTCGCGATTTTTATCACGCATTGATATTTGGATTGATGTTCACGGCATATTACCGCTCTTTACACCGAGAAAATGACTCAAGCTACAATTAGCCTCGAATATTATGCATTTACTAACAAATGTGGATTAAGAGAATTTATGTATATAGTTTTTTTTTTTAAATTTATTTTGAGCTGAGAATGACTGGAAGTGTTACAATGAATCTAGTGTTTTCTTATTTCCGTGCTTGCATTCATTTGATTTTGAAAGTGTAAGATTCAGAATACATATTGTGTATGATATGATTATATCCATTGTTAATATTAAAAGTTATATGTGAATAAATTGAATATATTCGTTGTGAATAGATAAATTCATTCTGTTTGATGAGTATTTCTTGTGTAGACAGTACATTTAAGAGTGAGCAGTTATTAAATCTGAAATTTAACGCACTAAATGCAAATTAGTGAAGCTCACTTTGAATAAAATTCTGCATTGGTTATTATGTATAGAAAATCTTTTTCATATGGACTGCAATAAAAAGTGCTGACTTCTATTTACATATATAATTGGTGTCAATATTTTTCTCATATGCATAGTTTTATGTAAAGATAGCATTTGGGCTCGGATGTGTATCATATTTCTTTCGTCTTATTTATCACTTATTAAGTAATATTTCGCATGTATATTCTTGCGGAGCATCCAACATGTATTTGTATTTATTTCAAATTCTTTCAACCAGGTAATGAAATCTTCATAATTGCTTGATCTAACTTCGCAATGAAAATTTTCAGAAGAAATAGACGATGTACAGAATTTTGTACAGAAAATTGCGTGACAAAATATTTTCAAGTATCTTGCCTAAACTTTAAAGCGTGCGAAAGGTCATGTGACACGACAGAAATATTACTGGATGCTCATTGGTCCATCCTAGAAGCCACTCCCTCGGTGAGTGAGTGAGTGACGGAGGACGTGGGCACCATCCCTCTACCGTTACGGTTAATTGGTATGAGCACCACGCCCGCCCTTATCTAGAATGACATAATTAGGTACTTAGGTTATCGCTACCCATTCAGACTTGCATGGTACATATTGCCATACTCTGACTTGCACGACTATTACACATGCCGTACCATATTCGGACTTGCTTATTCATACTTGCATGGTGCATTTACATTCATATTGCACTCCCTCGGTGGCTACACAGATGTGCACTTGTGAAATATGTGGCCCGGGTTCAAGTCCTTGAGGGGACATAAGTGTTTGTAAGTGTATAGTGCATTGGGATTATACTTTAAGTCCAATGGTGAAATTCTGATGTCAGGCCCACTACTGCCAATACCTGTGAGGACTCCATGAACAATCAAGTCACACATCACCCCTTTCCATTTTCATTGCATTCCCAGGGGTATGTTAAAACACGAAGCAACAATCCAGGACACATTTACACCCGATGAGTGTGTGCCGTTGTTGACGAAAGATGACACTTTTCAAATCGAGAAGTCTGTCTCGCGACACACGGTCAAGTGGTTAAGCTTAAAGAAACATTTATATCATTACTTCGCTCTTATCAGCGGATTGAATTCTTACAACTCTTTTTATACAAAAGAAACTTAAAAAAGAACATTTTCCACCTTTTTCTCTTCACTACTTACCCGTATGGGTATCTTCTCGGAGTAAGAGGAGAGCCGTCGCTCAGCATATCGAAACTATACCTGCAATAAAAAAAAAAGATACAGCAACGTATCGTAGTTGCAATATCCAGTGTAAAATATGGATATGAGTTAAATATCAGTAAATTATTAGTAAAAAATTAGTAAAGTAATTACAGTAAAGTCTAAATATTACAACATGGAGAGAAACTAAATAAATTAGATTCGAGTGTTTAGTAACACAAACAAATTCAATTAGATTTTCTAATGTTTTATACAGATTTATTATTATAAATAATAAATAAATATTTTTTAAAAAATACTATAAAAAATAAAAATTTAATAAGTAAAATTATAAAGCTGTAGCTATAAATTTTTATATTCAGAAAGTTAATTTTTTTTAAAAATTTTATCGTAAATCAAATTGTTTCTGAATCAGAAACCTGGACCCAGAAATTTAAATTTGAAAAAAAAATGAATAAATTTTCGGTTATTCAAAACCTGTAAGAAAATCAAGGGATTATCGAATAGAAGTGCCAAATTCTTTAAAACTGCATAGAATAGTAGTCTCAAACTCAGACTGCATACAGGCACGATCTAAACACGGTTGATGGGCCAGAACTTTTTTAAAACAAATTGAACATATTTAATCAACGGAATAAAGATTATTTTATCTAAATTTTAAATTTGGATTGCTAATAATTTAGCAAAACATAAATAAACAATAATAATATTAACACAAAAGCCCCCCCCCACAAAAAAAGACTGAAAGCTTTCAGATTTTATATTACGCCCCAAATGGCCTTTTTTAACGTTTTATATGCTATCTTAATTTATTAAATATCATGTTCTTCGCATTTAAACCACACGAAATTCAATTGATCAGCATATCACAAAATATTTAGTAACAGCATATCTTTAGAATTTCCGATACACAGTTTCGCGCGTGGAGATAAAAATGTTTTTTTTTTTTTTTTTTTTTTTTTTTTTTCCGTTCAGTGTTGCCATTACTCGCTTTGAAGTCTTTGAGTATGTTAATCAAAAATTCGTTAAAAGTTTTGCAAAATTTGAAATAGGTAATAAAACAAATTCGAAATTCGGGCTCCCAAGTGCCCATGTTCGGTTGGGGGATTACATTATTCAAAACTGGATGTCTCTGGGTACTGTTATTTTTTCACAATGCAAGAAACTTTCATGCGTTCATGTAGATTCTTCGTTATTTAGTTTCTTTAAATATAATATATGGCGATAATATTTGGTGGCAACAATTGGAAAAGTGAATCAATGCAGAAAGCGACTCAAAATGCATTTTGATATTCCTTTGGGTCTAACGTCCCTTTGGGCTAAAAAAATTATATTTATTTTCTACCTGAAATCTAAAGCTTGTCATCTGCAAGACGTTTTCTTGGTTCCATTTTGAATTTAAAGATACTGATGGCTTAAGTTTTGAGAAGGACATTTAAGTTCAAGGGATTTTGATATGTTTAATCAATCATTTAATACCTTAATTTCATTAAACTAAAAAGAAACAAAACATGAAAACTAGACTTTCAGACTTTCAGACACTTTCAGACAAATCAGACTCTTCAAGACTTTCTGAAAACTTTCTAAGTTTTCAGAGACAACTCTCCAAGTAGGTAAAACTTGAGAATAAATAATGGCAACGGAGTATCTTTCTTTTATTCAAAAAGTTTTTCTTTTGTCGCATAATAAAGTACCCATGTTTGAATCTAAATAATTTAAAATATTTTACTTCTTATAAAAACTTTATACATGATAACGTTTCGATTCAGGCCTTGAAGAAAAATTTCTAGAATTTCTGTCTAGAATTCTAGAAAATTTGATCCTGATAAAATGAGGAAAGTTACAAGAAATTATCTTCAACAAGAATTGTAGATACACATCGGTCAATCAAGTTCTTTTCTTACTAATTTTCTGCTGTGAAAAAAAAAATTGTTCTCACATAAATGTGTTCCCAAAAAAACCAATTATTCTTAGTGAAAGAATTCGTAACTAAGGGTATTTATTTTTTGACAGGTGCGAATAGAAGCTAATCAAATCTGTACCTCAAAATCTTTGAATAAGATTCAATTCATACACTAAATTAATTAGATTCATTTATAAATTTACTGGTGCGTTATTAATGTTTATTTTTAATGGTAATGAAAATAATGCAAACTCGGACTTCAAATAACTGAAATTTTAAAATTTTGCAATCCTATAATTGAAATATCTTTGCGAGCCACATAAAATTGCTATGGTACTGCTAGTTTGGGACACAGAAGGTTGACAGCTCATAATTATAGAAACACTGAAGTATAAGTTTCGAAAATGATAGAATACTTAGATGATATGACTTATTTTGGTTTTTTTTTTACCATTTTGCTTTTCTCTACATATGCGGAATATCGTTATTAGATACTAAATTGTTCTCGAAACTTCATTGATCTCTCTTTCTGTTGGCGGTACTTGTCTTTCATTCATCTTTAAAGCTCTTCTACTAAGACGAAATTTATGCCGAATAACATTGTATTGTTCTATCTAAGCCTATCACATCTTAAATCAAGATTGGAAAGGACCTTATGTCCCTGTGGAAAACTAAATGGACACAAGAGCTAACAGGCAAAAGGACGTTTAATTTCCTCCCGGTGCTCTCAAGGGAATTAACCACTACAGGCAGAGCAATGGCATATTTCCTGACGGAGCATGGCCCTTATGCAGCCTATCTGTTTCGCTTCGGATTGCACCACACAGACTCATGCATATGCTGCTCAAGTAACCATCGATCACTATATATTCGAGTGTGAAATCACCAAAGACTTATTTCCGGCGGTCCACAGCTGAAACAACTCCAAAAGAGTAAGCTAATACGAAACTACCTGGCAATGTACTGCGAAAATCTAAAAGCAATTAAAAAAAAATCATTTAGCACAGTCAAAGTCTTGAGAGAGTCACTTTAATGACCACAGTTCACAAACGTCTATCTTCCGAAGTAACTTTATAAATTCAGCTACAAATTTATTTAAATTGAATTAAATTATAATATTCTATGGAGATTTTTGGCTAGGCTTAGCGATAATAGAATACTCCACCAACTGACTACAAATGCTGATAGTCATATTATAAGGTACTTCTCCCGCCTTCTTAGTACGTCTTCGTAATGTAGTGGTCAGCACGCTGAACGCGTATTCCAGAGGTCCGTGGTTCGATCCCCGGCGAAGGCGTTGCTCATTTTTCACTTTTCCAGCATCGAAATAACCTAATGTCTGTACAATATAACAGGTGGCAAATCAGCTGGTAGTAAGTAAGTAAGCATATTGCTTTATTCTCATTGTACATCGGTCATCAAAATTAAAGGAAAATGAGAAAAAATAGGCTTACTTAAGTTAATGTAACAACCAATGTCCAAAAATGTAGTTATTTATGTTCATTAAATGAAAATGAACACAAAATTTGCACTTCCATGCATACGTTAGTGCCAAAATGACAATGTGGTGTGCAATGGGCACATGCTGGAATTCCGGTCTATAGTGTTGTTTAAAGTGAACGTGGTCGCAGAGTGATCAGTATTCAATAGGCCTCATTTAAGTGAAAGTCAAAAATGGCAAATATCTGGTAGAATCGAGGAAGATCCAACACAAATAAAGGTTGTCCAACATTTGAATATGTCTCAAAGTGTTATAGCAAGAGTTTGGAGCCGCTTTTTAAGTATCGTATCAGCTGATAGACAGCATGGCCAAGGACGACAAGAGGAGCACCTGCATCAGAAGACCGTTTTCTGTCGCTGTCGTCTCGAAGAAACCACGAAGCCGACACATTTGGTTTTAGACCTTCAAACTGCCAAAGGAATTCGAATTAGCCGTCTTACTGTTGCACGAAAGGGCTTAACTAGGTTGGACTGTATGCGAGAGAAACAGTGTTTCTGTCCTACTCTCATTTCAGCTGCCAGAAAGGCTCGTTTAAAACTGGTGCCGTCGTCATGTTCAGTGGAGCCAAGACGACTGAGCCCGAGTATTATTTATTGATTACAGTGATTCTAGACGTGTTTGATGTGGAGTAAGAAAGGAATACGCATCCATTATCCGTGAAATATTCCGTTTCTGAGACTGAGGTTTAATGGTTTGGGAAGGAATCATGACAAATAGCCCGCTTCGAGCTGCATATCTTTCAAGGAGTTTCTGTATCCGCTCGATATGTGGACGAGGTACTGGAACCCCAAGTTAGACTATTTAGGTGTGCCGTTAGTCCAGAGCTTTTGCTAATGAATGACAATACTTGGCTGCATCGAGCATATGCGCTGTGAGAATACTTGCAGACGTAAGATATATTCGAGTGATATCTTCCGTCTTCCCACCTTACTCACCTGAATCTAACTCGATTAAGCATGTGTGGGATGCCGAATTTTAGCGCTCCAAATTTCTCCCCGGATCCTCCTGCCCCTACAAGCTGAAAATTGCACTTTTAGAACAGTGATACGCATTTCCACCAGACTTGATCAACACTTAGTTAAAGATCTCTGAGATCGTGATGTGAGATGTGCATTATCTGTATGCATGTGACCATACACCATAAACGTTTTCCACAAGAGGGGACTTAATTTTTCCATCATTTTCCAATTTCCATAAATTTGGTTTTAATTTCAGTATTTTGCGAATAACCAACTGCCAAACATTGTAATTTATGTTATTATTATTATTTACGTGTTCTGCCCTAAGGCACTACACTAAGGAAAGCTGGCTCGTATAAACGCGTTACACACGGGGAAAACTACAAAAACGCCCGTGCAGCCAGGCCGTTCGCGGGATTCTAACCTCGGACAGAACTACCAGTTTTCAGGGACTTTATCGCTCAGCCGCTGGTGAACCTGTAATTTATGTTAACTAATGCTTTCGCAAAAATTTTCTATTAATGGTTTTCATTAAGTATGAGTTGCGTTTAATTTTTGTCAATTCTGATAAACAGTGTACATAGGATGTTTGAATTTTATACATTACTCTTATACTGGGTGGTGATAAAATAACTTTTTTGTATCATATATATTAAAATCTTCAGAATTTTGGAAA